CCCGGAAGGACGTGCCCTGGACTCCGCCTTCCCGAGGCACCCCGCCCGAGAATTTCAACCCCCTCGCCCAGGACGCCCACCCTAGAGGATGTCCCCCACCCCAAGATGCCAGCCTGGGGGTTCTGCAGGGAGGATCCCCCTGAAGGGTGGCCCCGGAGGTTGTCCACAGAGGGTGTCCGCCCCCAGAACCGCTCCCAGATCACCCTCACCCCGAGGATTTCCCCCAAGCTTCTCCCCTTCGAGAATGCTCCCCCTGGAGGGCCTCAGATGTCCCCTGGAGTTCGCGGCCCCCCAGGGAATGTCCTTGGAGGAGGGTCCCAGGAGTGTGCCGCCTGGAAGTTGCCCCACCCCGGGTGTCCCTGCAGGATGCCCTCCCCATATCAGCTGTGCTGCAGCCTCATCAGAGGCTTGTTTGGGGAGCCATTGCTTCCCAGCTCCCTCAGACTGCGGGCGAACTCATGTCCTTGGGGCGGCAGGATGGAGATGCTGTGTCCCCCACAGGCCAGCGGGAGCCCCGTGGCACCAACACCAGGAGGCAGAAATGACTGGGGCCACCAAGGAAGCTCACCGCAGGCCCACACCAGTTTCTAATCCCCTCGGGGCTGGGAGGTGGCAGATTGGGGACGCCTGAAAATTGCCTGCAGCTGCAAATTTCCCAGTGACTGTGGATCCCTTATGCAACCTCTGCCTCTGACATCTGCTTGGTGACACCAGCTCCAGCAAGGTGGGTGACACCCTCAAAATGAAAATTGGGAGTGGCCACCTCAGGTAGAACCATTTTCGGTAACTATTATACTATACCACTTTATTATTGCAAAAAAAATAGCTAAGACCCAAGTCTGGCTTTTAGGTTTGGCCATGAGGAGAGCTGCCTGTGGTGGTGGGGGTCGAGAGGAGAAGGCCACAGCCCAGCCCCACAGGGACACCGACTTCTCCTGGCCCCGAAAACCAGCAAACAGGCTTCAGGCTGCCTGTGCCTGGGAATGGTGACACTCCTTGTACTGTGCAGCTGGTGACACTGAGAGTGGGACAGAGCCTTCCAATTTTGGCTTCGAGCACAGCAAAAGGCCTGCCTCAGTGCTGGTGCCAAGGGCTCCTGACATGTCTACCTTCATTAACTCTCCGGGCATGTTCCCACCTGGTTGGAACCTGTGTACACACACCTGGCTTTCTAAAAAGACAGTGGTGACTCCCCCAAAGGTATGGAGCTCTGGGCATTTCTGCAAATTGATGGCCAAGGTAGATTTCCCAGGGAGTGGGGTCAGCCCACTGAGGACTTCGGTCACGGGCCTGACCTCGTTAGCCAGTTTGCCTCTGGCTTGGCACCCTTGGCCATGATACCCAGGTAGATGGGGGGGTGCCTCTGATGGAGGTGCTGGGGATGTGGGTCATTCACGGTTTGGCTGATCTAGGAGCTCTAGGGTTGGCAGGCTCCTCTGGGAGCCCTTCAGGAGAGTACCCTGGCTTCACCACCCCAGCCTGTCAAACAGCCTGCCCACTGCTGCCTCTTGCCAGGGCCAGAACTGCAGACCTTTTCCTGTTCTTAAGACACTGCCCAACTGCTTCTTTATTCATAATAGTCACACCCAATCGCCCCATTAGATGCTTTTGTGTGCAGTTTGCACAGAGCTCATCTCAGAGGGGGTGGTAATCCTGGACCCCAGATTCTGCTGTTGGAACAAGCTGGGGCTCCGAAGATGCCCACTGTGGGCTCAGCACTCCAGGCAGCTCGCTACCCGGGCTGCACGAGGTGGCGGAGAGCATAGCGCCAGCATCACATCACAGGCCCTCGCAGGTGCTGCTCCATGTGCTTGGCCACACACCAGCAGTGGGCAGCGCCTGGAGGTGGCGCAGCTCCTGCCAGGGCTCTTGTAGAAGTTTGGCTGGGGCAGGATCAGGTTAGACCTGCTCTAACACTTTCCTCAGGCAAAAATGGTTGTGGCCATGTTATTTGGCCAAAGTCCGCCCATCTGTACTCAACCAGCCACACAGGAGTACCGCTGCACCCGGCTGTGGCACAGGATGTATTCAAAAACTGTTGGGAGCCCACTGTCCCTCAGGATCCCCCATGAGGGCTGGGCCAGAGCAGGGAGCACTGAGACCACAGCTGCCTGGTTCCCACCTGCCTGCCACGCAGGAAAGGTACTCAGGTCCAAGAGTCCTTGGCACAAAATGCTGCTCACTGCAGAGGCTTCTAGTCTGAGGTCAACGCAGTGAGTTGCATGAGGACCGAGTTTGTTCCTGTTCTGCAGCTCTAGGCCTTTGAGACTCTGTGTCCATTCCTATCAGCCCATCCTTGATGTTTTCTTGTTAAGACAGTTTCTGTGTTACATGGTGAGCATACCTAAGACCCATGCCACAGACTGGACTCTCGGCTAGGAAACATCACGTGCCACAGATGCCTGTGAGCCTGACCTGCATAGACCACACGCAGCAGACTGAACTGGACCCTCGCTCATGGAAGCTGAGATCCCGTGACCTTAGCTGGTGAGGGCTGAGGAGCCCAGGAGACCTCGGGCAGCTGTGTCTGCCCAGGGTAGGGGTGCCCTGCCAGTGCTGAGGACTGCAGCCCCCATGGATGCCAGGGCACGGGGAGTGGAGCCAGCTGCTCACCTGCCCACCCTCCTCCTGGAAGTGCAGTGAAATGTTAAACAGTTGAAACGAGGCAGATTTATTGACTAGTCGTTTGCAGCACATTCTGAGGTCCCTGAAGACGCTGTTTCGTATGCGAGTTTCCCAGGGAGCCTGATGGAGGGAGCCCCCCTCCCACTCTTAGTGCCACCCCAGGGCTATCTGCATTTTGGAGGACTCTCCCAGTCAGGTTTCTCTCTTGTGCATTACGACTCCAGGACCTGGCAGAGTGGGCACCGAGTGAGGGTGGTGGACACTGGCAGAGGGAGGGAGGCCAAGGGGGAGGGGGGCATGTCCTCCCCGCATCAATTCTAGAACTCTGTAAGGCATACCTCTGCTCTCTTCCCTTGAAGAGTCATTGCCTGCTCTGCTGTAAGGAAAGGTAACAGCCACCCATGAGTCTGTGCAGCTGGGGAAGTGTGTTCTGTGCAGATCTCAAGGGACTCTATCATAGGAGAAAGGCCAGTGGCAAGAGTGTGAAGGGAAGGGCAGCCTCCAACTCCACCCCAGGCTTTGTCTAGAGTCCTGCTCCGTGTGGCAGGGTGCTCTGACCACACACCCCTATGGCGCCTCCAAGCCTTGGAGTGCCAACTTCTGCTATGGTTCCGGCATAGGGTGGATGCTGAGAGCAGCTGCTCAGGGTCAGCAGACGGCACAAGATGCTCTGTGCAGAGAACTGTTGGCCTGCTGGGGAGGCGGGGTGCCAGCAATGTCTTCAAGGCTCTGGAGTGACTGGTTTGGTGCAGGCCAGCCTCCAACTGACACTGGGCAGCCTCTCAGCACCGGGTCCTGGCCTTGCCTGGGGGCCTGCAGCAAGTTCTGACCTGCTCCCAGGTGGTGGGAAGGCTCCCAGGTGGATGGGAATTGGTGTCCTCGTTTGTCAGGAGGAGGTTGGCTTGGTGGCTGGCCAGGAGGCCTGCCTTTCCATCACTTGGTGGACCTCTACTGTGCACAGTGCAATCACAGCCCTGGTCACGTGCAGATGTCCAGCGGGAAGGAGGCGCCAGCTCTGCCTCCTTTGCTCTCCCAGCACGCACCCGAGGACCTGTCACATTTACAGGTCACCACTCCGCACCTATTATGAGTTTGTACCTACAATGTATCAAGTGAGTCAAGTATACATCTAAGTGTATGCTTCAGTTATCAATCTTGGAAAAATAAAAACTCCCTACTGTAGCCAAAATAACTTATTTTGGTATGAAAACCACACAAGTCCAGGTTGCTTTTCTGTGCTTTAATGTTCTGCAGTCCTTCGGCCTGGCCATCAGCCCCCGTCAGGCCTCCCCTCCACTCAGTCTGCTTGTAAGTTACTCAATAATACAAAAATAACCACAAATTCTCTGTGTCTGGCATATAAAAACTGAGCAAAAATTATCTCAGCGGTCATTACCTTAAAACAAAACATCTCGGAAAAAATACAACACAGGTTTTTAACTTCTGCAGTATTTTGTTTTCATATAAAACACTAGTAAAATAGGCTCCTTAGAAATTAAATAGTGAAATATCAACCACATTATATACATTGTTACAGTACAAGTGAATGAGGCCAAATACCCAGTTCTGTTTCTCAGGTGCTGATGGAGGGTCCACCATGTGTGGCTCAGTGGCCTTTCTCCTGAGGTCACAGTCACTTGAGCAAGAGTGGCGGACAGATGGACCAGCAGGAAGACTGGTGCTCCTGGGAAGGCAGGGACAACAGGTGTTATGGCTCGTTCCTCCAGGTCTGTCACACAGGCTGTAGCTCAGGCCACTGATGCCAAGAGCAGCAGAATGGACCACAAAGTGAACTCTCAACCTGAGCCAGTGATCCTGGTTTCAGGTCTGTCAAGCCCCAGATGGTGAGTGGGTGCAGCAGAGCCCCTGGGACCCTTGGGCATGCAGCAGGGGTTGAGCACCTGGCCCCTGACGACCTGATTACCAAGGCTGCCCACCCTTTTTAGAGGAGCATCTAAGTTCGGCGCCGCTTGGCGGCACTGGGGCTGGAGGGGTTGCTGTTGGCTGTCAGGACCTTGTCGGTGACCCGGCTGCGCTTGCGCTTGTCTGCCCCTTCCTTGGCCCCCAAGTCTGAGGAGTTCTTGTCTCTGTCTTTGCTGGACTTTTCGGTTGCTTTCCCCAAGCTTCCTGAAGATGAAAAAACTGGGAGACAAAATCATTTGGCTGAAAACAGAATATCCAGAATTTTATTTCATCTTCTGGTTCAGTTAAAAAAATCTGTATCTACACACATGATGCTCTGAACCCACAAGCTTCTCCTGAGCTGGGGATGCCCACCAGCCCACAGAGCACCTGGTCCGCTAGAGGACATGCCCACCTTGGGGGCCTTGGGCAACACGTGCTCAGGCTATAAGACCTGCCCTGGCTGCCACTCAAGCCTGTGCCACAAGGTGGAACTGGCTTTGCTACCTAGGGTTTGTCCTGTACTGAGACCTCGAGCACTGCACACTGGGTCCACTTGACTGGGCCCACCGGTGCCCGGGGCCACCCTGTGGTTTGTTCATGGTGTCGGCTACATGCATGACGTCCACGCCTGGCGAGGCTCCTGCCCGAGCAGATAGAGGCTGCCTCTCAACTGCTGGACCAGACAGAGCAACTGTGGCTGCAACGGGCTAGAAATACAGGCCTGGTACCTGTGCTGCGCCCTGCAGGGAGGCCCTGCTAGGGGTGGGTGCTGTGTCCCCCCAGAAGACGGGGCCCCAGAAGAGGGACAGGATGAGCTCCAAACTTACCATCATCGGCCCCATTGTGGGGGTCCATGTCTTCTTTCATTTCCTCCTTCATTTCTTCTTCAATGATCACTTTTCCTGTGGAGATGACAGCTGATATTTACTGAGAGCCCACACTGCTGGGTGGCTACACATGGCCCAACCTGGGGGTGGCTAAGGCTGGGACTGTTCCGGATGTGGGTGGCACGCGACGGCCTCGGCCACTTAAAGAAGCTGTTTTTGAACACACCCTCCTCAATCCAGGTGGGCTGAGCATCAAAGGCTAGAGACCCACACTTCTCCCCGAGGCTCAAGCCCTTCACCCTGTCACCCTACACTCGGCCCACCTCCTGCCTTTCCTAATTCCCAAACCTACCCTCCCTGAGTCTCACCTTCACGGACTTCTTGAATGATTTCTTCTGGAAGGACGAAGTTCCTCTCTGGATTCGGGAATGGAAGAATCTCAGACTCATGCTGATAGCAAATAGGGAGTTTTATTTTTTTAAGGAAAAAAAAAGAAAAAAAAAAGATGTGATCTTAGCAAGTGACTAAAAACATGTAAGAGCTGATTCAGGGGCATCCAATGAGCGCACAGTGCCATCCTGGGGGGCTGCCGAGGTGGGTGCGAAGGGGTGAAGGTAGCTCCTTCCCCTGCTTGCACAGTCAATAGACCCAGGGAGGGCTACAGTGCCAGCAAGGGCAGAGTGAGGATGGGGAAGAATGCTGGATGTCACGCTTCAGGGGCACACACCTCAGGGGCAGAGTGGTAACAGCTGTCACACACTCAGAGAGCAGTGGCAGCCCAGCAGCCTGGAAACACAGAGTGTGGGCTGGAAAAGCCACCCCACAGAAAGCAGGTAAGGAGAGCAGAGACCCTAGGCACCACTGATGGCCTGTAATGGTTCACCTGTCCTGCACGTCATGTGTGCCAGAAGGGATGGAGACGCTGGATAAACAGAATACCGGACAAGGGAAGGTGAGTTGGTGGGAGGGGATTCAGGAAACCAGCTCTTTCCCTCCATTCCATGTGGGAGTGATGTTGCCAGGTGGCCAGCCATTACCATGCTGATCAGCATCTCCAGCTGTGACAAACCCTAGAGCTCCAGGGTCCCCACTGGTCACACTATGGGTAAGGTCCAGGGACTTGTGCTAACAAGTCCCCAGAGCGGTGCTGGGGTCTAGGAAGTGACATTCCTGAGGTCTTGGCCAGGACTGAAAGAGTGACAGACCATGAGAGGAAGAGGGAGAGGCCTTCTGTCCTGAGCTCAAAGCCCTGGGTGTACCCCGTAGCCTCCTGGGGAGTGTCATGTGGGCCCCCCGAGTGAGTGTCTGTCTCAGAGCTGCCTGCCTATCTCCCTGAGGTGACCAGGGGACCCTGCTGCACCTATCTCTGTGTCCCACTTCTGGCCCCCACCAGCCTGAAGTCAGGGTTCAGAAAGTGCCTGGGGACCAGGTGACCCCACACATGACAGATGTGGGAGCTTTGCTGAGCCACTGAACAAGTACGTCCCCGAGAGTAGGCCTGCCATGGGCCCACACATGAGGCCACCCTAGGAGGACCCTTCTAGTGCGCAGCTGGTCCTTGAAGGGGCTGTGCACACCAACAGCAGCAGGGCCAGGGCACAGCAGCCACCTAGATCCCATCTACTCACAAGGAGCCGCAAACGACTTGCCCAAGGTCAACGGGAAGCAAGGGACAGCACAGCATCTGGACAGGCTCTGCCTCCGGACCCAGCACAGGTCCCACCCCCACCCCAAGCGCGCGCTCTCCCCTGACCGCCGGTCCTCCGCAGGGAACGCCCGTCCCCCCGGCTCCTGGTCACCTAGGTAACCGGGCCAGCTGGAGCCCACGAGGACGCCGGCCAGGTGCTCGCGGGCCGTCAGATTCACCGTCCTGCCTGGGGCACTCCCGGGGCCTCCGTAGGGCGGACGACGGCATGAAGGCCCCTCCCTCGGGCTGGCTCTGCGTGACCTCCCTGGAGACCGTCCCCGGTCACCCGCCGCAGGGGTTCTGCACAGGCGGCAGCCGCCACCGCCAGGTGTCTTTCTGCAAAGCACTCGGAGGCGCCTCGTTCAGCGCAGGGTCCTCCCGAGGACAGGCCCAGGAGGCACGGCGGGGGCGCCGCGGGGGCTGGGGCCCAGCTCACCAGCGCCTGCATGTCGTACATGGTGCTCAGGTGGTCCCAGATGACCTTGGACGGCACCTGCCGGCCGATGTTCTGGCTGAACTTGTCCCTGATGCAGATCATGTGGAAGTGCCGGTTCACGCCTGCGGGGGAGG